TTAAACAATCAGTAATATAACTAATATATGCATAAAACACAATAAATTCTCACCACTTATCAGACAATTAGTAGTATGAATTTTACAGTTTAAAATTTAAGAAAACTAGTAGATACTATTATGTTGTTGAGCATATCCAGCGCTAGCCTTTTTCATGGCCCAGTGTAGTCTTTATTTTTCTGATATATTGCTTAGCTTCTAAAATTTTACCAAACATCAAGAATGATCGCAAATATTTCGCTGACTTAGCCGTATGTGACTGTGTCAAGAGTAAAAAGTGTTTAACTGGCCCTTATTTCTGTCACTTCTTTATGAATCTTCATTACTGTTACAGCAACTATCCACATTTTCTAAATTATTGATATATATATGTATATTATTGCAGTTTGATTAATATGCAAGTAAACTTAGGCTATTCCAACACTCGTAGGTAGACCTTAAACTCAATAAAAGAGTAATCTAACGTAAATTACAATAAATGTTCTCCAAACTCGTATAAAATTTGACTGAACTGTATGTAAATTTTGAAGTATATAATGCGAGAAAAGAATACGCCTTTAAATTATGTTAGCTATGTACGCGTGATTGCGTGGCACGAATGTGACATAAACCCAGAATCAAAATGTAAATAGAGGGCATAAATATTTTAGAATTTGTATTTTGTTAACTGAATTTATATAAAATATACTGTAATGAAGAAATCAAAACATGACATTAAGCAATAACATTGATATAATTATCAAAGGTGGCGCTGTTTATCATACTGTCACCGGAACCGGAATTGCATTAGCAGTGGGTGTATCTTTAACGTTTGTGAAGTGTATTCCATCAAATGGCGGCTTTAAATCATTACGTGCTCTAGACAGAAAATTTGTTATCATTATTCTCTACATCTCTTTCCTGACCGTTACGTACCTAATATTTTTGTATTTAGTAAGTCCTGGCTTATTGTATTTGTTAATTCAACATTTCAGAATCATAACTTAAGTTCTTTCTGTATTACGTGAATTAAATGCCTCGAATATTTAGGAGAGAAATTCTTCGCAAAGTTACGAATTGCTTATATTTAAATTTCCTGAATTGATATTCTCAAAATTTAGCATTTAATATGCACAGTTAAATTTCTGTGCCTACATTTTGTTAGGGAACGCATATTACATGTGTGCTAAGTTAGGAATGTTCCAAATTGCTCATTTTTTAAAACATGATAACCTAACTTTAATACCATCCTATGAACTTATAAACAGTGAAAGTATGAAATAACTTTCCTGTGAGAATACTGGACTTAGACATGCGCTGATATAGTTATCCGTTTGACTGAATTTTGTCTTCCAAAATGTTAATTTACATTCGTGTATGTGTTAAGTTTTGTCATTTCATTTGTTTTAGCATGTAAAAAATTTCATATTTTCAGCAGTTTCACTAAATATGCCCTGATTAAATTTTGCATAACATCGACCTGGGAGAGAATCTTTGCATTTGCCAAATATTGAATTTTTAGATGAGGTATTTATGCAGTAGCTGAAATTATTTTCAGTTTGTTGAGAAGTCGCTTTTTAATTTGTAATTAAAAGTTTAGTCAATAGCTCATTATATTTGAAGATTAAGAGATTATTTGATTTTTTAGCTTATGTATGAGTCGCTTTTTGATTTGTAATTAAAAGTTTAGTCAATAGCTCATTATATTTGAAGATTAAGAAATTATTTGATTTTTTAGCTTATGTATGAGTATTTTTAAATTCTTCAATTTTAGAGAAATCATGTTAGTAGTTATGATTGCAGCCATTGTCAATTTTCATTCTATGCCTGCATGCATTTTGAAACTTGGCCATGTTAAAAAGTAAACTTTTTTGGAGGTATGCCTTGTAATTTCTTTTCTAGATGTATTTAACAAACTAGAAATTTCCTTCTGTGAATTTTAAATACATCTGATTATTTTTTTATTAAAATTTAAGGAATTAACTGTTTCAATGAATATGCAGTAATATACTTATTTATGAAAACATTAATCATAAAAAATTAATTTCAAATGCTGTAAAATTTGGTACTTTTTAAAATAATTTCCAAACTTTGATTTTAAAAGTTATGGTGAATATTTTTGAATATGTCAGAATCGGATAAAGTTCATATATTTTCACTAAGTAGACATTTCACTGTAGAGTTCGTTTTAAATCTGTAAAGGTCTGTAAAATGTTCTTCCATGCTTAATGGGGCATTTTTATGTTTATTGTTTGGTATACCTGTTAAGATATTTTCTTATAAAGATAATCCAAGTGTTTAAGTAAAGGTAAATTTGGCTCAGCCTGTATAAATTAAGAATTGAAATAATACATTATATTGCATAATAATCTAGTAAATATTCTGTTAACTTTTCACAATAATTTAATGCAACTGTTAATTATTTTCACTGCTACTGAAATCTTGTTAGCATAGCATCACATCTTTTAAATGAGTATAACTAACGTACAGTTCTTAAAAGTTACCAAGTGAATAAATCTGTTAAATAGTGATAATTTGACCTGGGTTTATTCTTAATTATGACTGACTGAGTACAAATTGCTTTCAGAGTTTCTTTTGTGAATGGCATAATTAAAATTAAGTTTTCCTCCAAGTCTTCCATGAAGATACTCTTGCTCAGGGCTTACCAGTGATCAAGTATTGTTTAAAATTGCATAAAAGACATAGGCTTTGTGTAAAATTAACAAAGCTCATATTTGTCTTCAAAAGATTTTCTTAAAACATGTATATGCAAGATTATCTGGTGTTCTTTTTTCCTTTTCGGACATCAAATTTCCATTCGACTAGTTTTTAAAATTTGCAGAAATTTAGTTTTTATATTCTACCTCATAGTAAAATTGTATAATAAAACAGACACTTAAAATTATAACAGGTCTATTAGAAAGAAGAGAGCTGAAAGCATGCAGATGCGCATTGTTGAAATTTCATGAAGTATATGTTATGACTAAGGTGACTAGATGTGCTGATCTAGTCAATACAATTTTGGAGATGATACTGTGAAGTTTATTGAATCTTGAGGCATGTTTACACTTAGTTCTGTTTTAATCATGAACAGATAAGCAGTATATGAGATCGATTATAGGAAATTTATGGTTATAAATGCATTAAGATATTTGTTGTTCTAATATTAATATATTTGCAGATTTTAACATGTTATTATAATAAATTTTTCTGTGTTTCTGTAATAATTAAAATAAAGAGAAATATTTAAAGTTTCTAAGCATTTAAAATGAAAAATAAATATATTACATATATTCTAGAGTAACCTTTATTTTGACAAATGCTGTCTCTAGTTGATAGCGACAATGATATGAATTTTGCAATTTTTTAAAAGTAAGATGTTCTGAAAAATATTTTTCAAATGGTAAATTTTAAAATATTTCTGGTTTGTAAGTAATGTACTGATACTGTAATGATACTTTGACATTTTGTCAAGCTCTCTGGAAGTCTGAAGGAGATCAGAACTTTTCGAGTTTTGCAAAGCCAAATATTTTGTGTAATCTATTTAAAAATCAGTGTAATAAAAGACCAGTATTTTATTACTGTAATTCATGTAATTGGTTCCAATTAATCAATAAACTTTCATAATATAAACATTTAAAATATTTGCTAACCCATTTAGATTAAAAGCATGCAACATGAATTTTCATTATATGCTTTCTGAAACTGCATTAACCTTTAAAATATGCTATTGCAGAAAATGTGTTTTTAATTTAAATATAAGCTTTATAAAATATGTATAGTTTTCTGTAGGTCTAAATTATTTCAGATTCCTTGTGAGAATACAGCATTTTGTTAGGAAAGGACCTTTAGTTGCATCATGTATTATGAATGTTTTGTTTACATATGTGTATTTTAAATATATATATATTTAAATTTAATTGCCTTTTATGTGTTTAATGTGAAACTAGAATGCTGTAAAATATGTAAAAAGAAATTAAATGGTCAATCTATAAAAATTATTTTGACACAGCTGTAATATTTTTCAGGTTTCGTTTTCTGTTTTAAATTGACTGAAGCATCATGCCTGCTGTCCGAGGAGAAGGCATGCGTGGCCTTGCTGTTTTTATTTCTGATATAAGGAACTGTAAGTGCTTATAGTACTGGTAATCAGATTTTTAATTTGAAAATGTAGTTTATTTGATCAAATAATTGATAAAATTATGATTATGATAGGTGGTTCTAATAAAAAATTCCTTGCTGCTAATAAATTTGAGCTATTTTATATGTTCTTAATTTTCTTTGGCATATTCAGTACTTGTTGATTAAACATATCATTTTGTTTTAGAATTTTAATCTAAAGATTTCACAATTATGAACACAGTTGACAGTTAAAGCATTAGTGCATATTGGATACAATCCACTATTTAAAAATAACCAGGACTATAAATCATAGTGATTTACTATAAAAAATTTACTTTTGAACACCTCCTAAAATCCAAACAGTTTTTTTTATTATTTCCCTTTTAACCCTTTGGGACCCAATTTTGGTATGCATTGGGATCTATATGTCCCTATGGGGGCTGAAAGAGTTAAGCCAGAACTTTCTCTGATAGAAAAGAACACATATGCATAAAAACAAATCACCACATTACTGATTTCAATGAAATAAGCATCATGAGAAACATGTGAGCTGTTTTTATTTTTTAAAGAACGCTGATATTTTTCATTGGTTGGGAAAGAATGATTAATGACCAGATAATTTCTATTAATGGAGTACAGAATATTATATAATATAATATACAAGAACCATTCTTGAGGTTTTTATTTTTCTCTTTGGCCAAACTATATGAATGTGGTAAGATATTTATCCCAAGCAAAGAAAATATAAGTTTTCATTTGAGAGGCCAAACACATTTAATGTCCTCCAAAACATAAGTTTAAATCTGTTGTTAAATTAATATCTTATATTAATTTTGTTTTGACAACAGTTATTTTAATTTCTCTTATCTGATATTTTTTAACTTAATGCTCTGTCATCGATCATGTGTGATCGCTTGTATAGTATACTTGTTATGTTAAGTATTTTCAATTTACTTTGTGTTAATAAATAAATAAAAGGTCATGGGCCCAGGTGATAGTTTTTAAACTCTTTATAAATGCATTTCAATAAATGTGTTCTGTAGCATTTGTTGCAAAAATCTTGTCCAGCACAAAAACTGCATTAATCAACGATTTCAGTAGCCACAAATATTCAGTGTAGAAGTTCTAGATTACCTGAGATAAGTTTTTCGAGTGACAAACAGTGCAACTAAAAGAAGGGAGGGACAAGAAAGATGCCATAATAGAATTTTTCACAGTATGATTAGCCATAGAGTTATTAATGATCACCCAAACTGAAAGTTATGTGCTTTAAAGATAAGATGGATAGACTGGATGTGCAGATTAGATGGGAGACTGTTTTTAAGTAAATATTACTGTTAGACAAATTGTCAATTTGAAATTAGTCAATAATAAAACTGTTGTGCAACTCCGAGATGTATGTAAAAATATAATTGATGTTACAATCATGACATTTTAGGGAGTTTATTATAATATAAATTTGAGACGGACTTGCCAATCAGTATCAAAGTAAGCAAAATATGTAACAGCAAAGTTTATTGATGAAGCATCATTTCTCAATCAAAATGCACCAGAGCAGTAAGCATTCCTCACATTGACAGAATCACAGCTGGTTTATGGCAGAAAAACAAGATTCATGTAATTAGCTGAATAAGGTTAAATGTAGCAGCCGAAGTAAGAAAATTAAGAAGGCTAAGTTGATATGTTGCTCTTCCTATCACTAAAGAAAACAAAAAAAAAAAATTCTTGACAGTAGCCACATTCATTTAATGACACACTAAAAGTCAAGACTATTGATTATGGATTAACGAAGCATCTACATATGTCCTATGACTATCCCTTTATCTATCTGCCTTCTGTCTTCTCCACAGGGAAATTTTGTGTGATATTTTCATCCGTTGTTGTCCCATGTGGCATTACTTGATTAAGCTTAATCCGGTTGAAACTCTTGTCCGTGTTATATTTATAACTTCAAGAAAATGAATGGACACAAAAACATTTGCCTTGGCAACAGCTTTAAGCTTCGTGTCAAAGGAAATAATATAAAAATCTTAAAAAAGGATTAACGATAAATTGAAAATTGGCAAGATATGTGATGTATTGCATGTTTCAGATATAGAGAAAAACTTTCTTTTTTCAGTCGTTACAGGAAAAGGAATAAAGATGGTAAAAATGAAATATAGTGTTGTATATTACTGTGATAATGTTAGTTCAGTAAACCATTCTGCTGATAACTTTTATCACATATTGTTTAGAAAAGTAATTGCTTCTAAGCTAGACGTTGCATTTAAGGATAGTTCAGATTCTGGCATGAAAGAAAGGGCACAAAATGTTTTAAGGCTGTATCTGAAGCAAGTTTCATGTGAAGCAAGATTAATTGAAAAAGTTGATATTACAGATAAACTCTTTTACAATAGATGCCAGCATTGTGAACAACAGGTATCTGTTGAACTAAGCAAAGCAAAGTAAAAAAGTACAAAACAATTACATCTGGAGAATTAATCTAATGATTTATGTGACCCTGAATTCGATAAATAGAGCAAGTTATTTTATTCTAAGGAAGGCTAACTGCTGTGGATACAGATCATTCCATTTTATAAAGCATGAAAAAGATGCCTAGGATTGTTTAAAAAATTTTGTTAATCCGTGTGAAAATACATTTAGTTGCAAAGTGAGTGCACTCAGTGTGGACAATGGGACTGAATATATTAATCTAATCTCAGTAATTTTCTAAACATGAAAGACATTCAGTATGAAGCTTATTTCGTATATTCTACAAATGGAAGATCTGAAAAAATGATAATCTAGGAATCTCATTACTATGGAAGAAAATAAATATAGCTGCGCAATATACTGAAGAGAACTGTCGAACTAGATTTTAACTGCTTTCAAACATGGATTTGAAAATCTAAAAATTTGATTTTATGATCTAGTTCTTTAAACTTAAATTGAGAAATATTTTTAGTGAATTTTTCTGTGTTATAAATTTTGTGTACTTGCATAGTCTTGCTATCACCATATGGTTATTCTGAAGATAAAAACTTCTGTGATACAGAAGATAATTAATATAAATGAAAATGAGTGTTATTTCCTTTATTCTCAAAATGAGCTTGAACATACCTACTTGTTATAAATCATATATAGCAGCTAACTTTTTTGCTGCTGGTCGTGAGGTTGTGTTGATAGTTATTCCTGTCATAGAAGTAGATTGCATTCATATGCTGACTTATAAGAAATATGATTTAAGAGTTAATAAAAGAAGATTATGTATATTTCACTGATTGCTATATCTTTAATGAGAATTTTATGACTGCTTGGCAGCAGGTGATCAGCACTAGAAGTAAAATTATTTCTGCAATGCCACATAACATATTGGTGTGTAGCATTTAAAAATGAATCAAAATAAGTAACTCTATTTTTATAAAACTAAATCACAAATACATATGTTTACAAATGAATTGCAAGATTGCTACAATGAATTTTGAACAAAATGGATCTTTGCTTTCATTCAAAACCACATAAATATACAGCTGTTTTCTAACCTTTACTACACACCAGTACCAACATACATACTCAAAACAATGAAACATTGCTTTTCCTGCTCCAGCGTTTGACTAGCACCTGAGACATCACCTCGTATCACATGCCATTGTGTGATTGGCACCAAATGTATTAATCGTCAAAAATCTGAAGAACCAGCGAGTCAAAAGAATGGGATAAAGTCATAAGGGAGGAAATTCATGCTTTTGGAAAAAATACCTGGTAGTTACCATTACCAAAAGGAAGAAATATAATCAGTTCAAAGTGAAATAGTTACATGTTCGACAGATTCAAAACTAATCCAAGTTCTAAAGAATTTTCTCTAATAGAGGGTTTGACTTTTTTCTCATCTTGTCATCCTGTAGTCTTGTTTTAAAAGGCAATATTGAGAGTTTGGATAGAATGTACTTGAAGAGAAATATGTTTAGAAGATGTACTGAATACGAAAGAAACCTAAAAGTTCAGTTAGTAGATTAAATAAGTGAAAGATGAGTATAAAAATATTAAGTACCCTACGAGAATTTGGAAGATAGGTGAAGGAGAATTTTGTTAAATGGTGACAGATTCACCTGAATCAAAATGTTGTGATGAATGATGCCTTTTCAGTCATAAAAGCAAGTTATTTTTTTACTTATAGCAACGCAAGTTTTTGTGATTAGCTACCTTTACGATTGGCATTTTCATGATTCACTGCTGTTTTTTTTTTGGTTCTGCATCACTTTTTAAGCATGTTTTAATCACTTATTACAGAATCAGAATTTTGTCTTATTGATGTTATTTCTGTATTCAGTATATGTATTTTCTTTGTATTTTGTTACCTTATGGAAAACAAATTTCTTTTTTCATTACATTTTTTGTCAAAATCACTTAACATGCAACTTAAGATAACCAAATTTGGCAACAGTTTGGTTATTTTATTGGTTAGATCTTGGATGCATTAATGTTGTCAGAGCTGGTGCAACCAGTGTAGTTGCACTCAGTGGCAGAATTCAGTGGTGATAAACTTTTAGAATTTAGAGAAGCAGTATGTAGCAAAATTTAGGAATGGTAAAACTTAGAATCTAGGGGTAACAAAATTAGGAAGGGACTGGGCAGCAGAGTTTATGATTCGCAGAAATTGCACCAGGCAGCAAAAATGTTTCGTACCAGCAGTGTTTGGACTATATAGAATTGTGAATGTCATATTTTGGTTTTGAAATGTATGTACTTCATGAAAATAGCTATTCAGTGGCTAAATAACTAAGATCACTGATTGCTGAGTATTTAATTGGATTCAGGTTCCAAGAATTAACTGACTGCATGGATATTTTCATGATTCCCTTCTCTTGTCTAATCACGTACAAGCCAGCTTTCCCCCAAGTCCTCCATAAGGCAGTCTTTTCCTTAGGCAAATGGCTGTTATGTGCTTTGCCTTAAGTAGTCATGTAGAAACTTATGCATAAGGAATTTTTAAGTTTCTACATTAACTACTACTTAAGCCTTATACTTATGGTATATAATCATTGCTGAAAACTTAGTGCATTTAATGTAGTATTTCTTTTAAAAGTTTTACCAAGCTCAAAATAAAACATTCATGCATTCTTCCATTCTGATTTTGTGGCATTCATATAATTGATAAAATTTAGCTTATGTTTTTCCGAAGCTATTTATGTATGATTTTCATTTAATTTTAATAAGAAAGGCTGTAATGGATGATTAAATATGAGATTTTATACACCTTTGTTATTTATCAGAAGGAACCAATGAGTGTGGTTTCTTTAATACAGAATGCACATATATAACTTGAATCCATTATATGTATGTGTGTGTGTACATTGTTTAATAATGTGTGATTGTTATAATACATCAAAAGCTGCTAAAATCAGATCTCAATATCTGATCTTAGTCTTGAACATTTCTGGTTTTTACTGAAATTATAATAAACTCCATGTGTAAAATTTCGGTTACATGTATGAATTTAATATTTGTGTTCCAGATTGTCTGTTCTTTTAATATTGTGGCTTTTGATAATGTTAAGTTTTATCGTGGTTTATTTGATCATTTTACTCTTAAGTCTTTCAGATGATGCTTAGATTTTGATTTCAGTAAACTGAAATAGAAACTGAAATTTGTTCTCTTTTAAAAAGTAGTCGATAACATTTATGTAATCTGTTTTAAGTAATGGATTTTCATCTCAATGTGTATTTAACAATTTGTTAATTGCACATTATCTGAGAGACGCATGATTTGTATAATTTTTGTAAGTATTGTGATGTTTTCTTAAAACTGCAGTGAAATTTATATTCTATCTTTTCACATTATTTGTAGAGCTTCTAATAGCTACAAGTATCAGAACATAAGTGAACAAACAGGAAAATTCAATGTGAAAAAATTATCTCAAACTAGAAAGTATTATTGTTACAGGTACAATGTTAAATTAAAAAGTGTTGTTATAGGTACAGATAGAAGTTGGTGGAACATCAAAATTTTGCCATTGGTTGTACAGATGTAATCATGCCATATTAATTGTATAGTTCCTCATTTTTAATGGAGAATATACTGAGAGATAGATCCAGTGGTCTGCCACTCTTATCCTAACACAAAACTACTCAAGATACTTTCAGATCGCCAGAATTTTTAATGCCCCATGCCATACCAATACTAGTAAAATCCATACCTTAGCTGGGATTCATACTCCGATCCCAAGACACAGCAGCCAGCATTGCTGATCATTGTACCGGTTTTACAATGAACAAAGTAGCTGTTGTAATGCTTGAGGTGAAAACTGGATTGTTTGATCAAAAAACAAAAAGAGGTGGGGCTTGGATGAGGCATTTCCTATACCTATAGTAGCAGCAAAGTGGAAACTTTCAGTAATAGTTACTATACAGGAAGATTTTTGGAAGCTTCTAAATCTAAATTAAGGGGTGAATTAATGCGAGTGATAATTTTAGCTGCTCAAAATTAAGTGATTTTTATCTAACAATGACGTGTTATGGAAAACATTTTCACTTTTACTCTAATTGCTTTGGTGTGTTTGCTTATCCTGAATTTTAAAGATCTCTGGGTTTGTCTTATATATTGTTGAAATGTAATTTTACATTCAGTATACATATTCATGTTATAAAAGCTTTTTATTTAGTCACTTGATTAAGTTTTAACTGAGACTTCATGTATTTAAGCTTAAAATTTATTAATATTAAAAACTTAACATTTTTCATATATTTTAGAGACCATTTCATCTTAATGACTGTATTTTTTATTTTACAGGTAAAAGTAAAGAAGCTGAAATTAAAAGAATTAATAAAGAATTAGCTAATATCAGATCCAAGTTCAAAGGTTTGTTTAATTTTTTCATTTACTGTATTTCCTGATTTGTTTTCAAATTTTATGAGTATGTATAAGATGACCTTTATTTGAAATATAGGAGATAGAGCATTAGATGGATATCAGAAAAAGAAGTATGTTTGTAAACTATTGTTTATATTTTTATTGGGACATGATATTGATTTTGGTCATATGGAGGCTGTGAATCTTCTGAGTTCAAACAAATATTCTGAGAAGCAAATTGTAAGTACTTTTAAGAAAATTTTCATATGTATAAGGTTAGAGTTTCTATTTGGAATTGATTTGTTGTTCCTTTTTTTTTTTCCTCCTAGGGATACTTATTTATATCTGTTCTGATGAATGCCAATAATGAGTTGATGCGTCTCATCATCCAGTCTATAAAGAATGATCTCTCTTCCCGTAATCCTATTCATGTTAACTTAGCATTACAGTGTATTGCTAATATTGGCAGCAGAGAAATGGCTGAAACCTTTGGATCTGAAATTCCAAAATTACTTGTTTCTGGGTTTGTTTCTTTAATATTTTACTTCAGATTATATATTTTTGGAATATTGATCAGAAATAATGAATGACATATTTTATTAGCTTTTATTTATGTACAGTTTTAAAAACTGGTATATGAATATTTAAGCTAAAATTTTTCTATGGAATTTTTTCATCTTTTTGAATTTTCCTAAGTTTTATATATATATATATCTGTCTAGTGAAATCTTGATCTTGGTAGTTTTTTACTGAAAAAATGAAATTGCAGATTGCAAAGGGCTGTCTAATCTCATGAAAAACTCAAGATGGTTAGTTGTTAGGTACTTAAATAGTCCAAAAAATTGGAAAAGATATGCAATGTAATTTTTTATTCAGTATCTAGTGTGACCTAGAAACAGTAATACAGGCTTAAATAATGTGAGGCATATTGTCAGTGAGCAGTTAGTTATCACCTGAATTATATTGCATAGCTGCATCTACTGTAGTATATAGGTCTGCCAGGGTAGTTGGAAGTGGTTTTCAGTATATCTAATAAAGTCTTACGTGTTCTAAATGGAAGGGTCAGGTAAGGTTAATTGATGGCCAGGAAAAGTTCCTTTATGTATTCATAAGAATTTTTCATATAATATGTAGTCTGGTATTTTGCTAGAATATCATATCAGATGCACCCTGTAACATCACTGTTAGGATCGGTGTCTTGTACTTGTCCATTGTCAGGTGACTAGAAACGTGCACCAGGGATGTTTGCTGTTTGAATATAATGCTTATATTTGTGGGGGAGCATTATTGAAACTTTGTCACACTTTTGTTGGCATGTGGCATTCTAATGAATGTTTTTACAGCTGTCATTCACTGTTGTTCTGTCTTGGACAAAAGTAAGATTTATATGTGAACAATATCTACTGCCTTTGGCTATTCAAGTAGCAATGACTGATACTGCAGCAAGCACATAATGGTATGTTTGTTGCTGCTTAATGTGCATGAAGCTTTTACATTGTGTATAATTTGAGTAAATGGAAGTGCATCTTCTAATGTGCTGAGTGGCTGTTGTGCAATGAGGTTATCCTTATGCTTGAGTTTTGTTTTTATAATATTTAACTTGAAATTAATGTTAGTAATTACTGTGAGAATTAGATTTTTTTTGCGTAGGTTACCTGTGATGAGATTACTTCGAGTCAACGATGAAACACCATGAAACACATGTGGCACCATGAAAGCGTAGTAAATTCTTAATGTCTTTTTACAAAATTTTAAATGATATTAAAATGTTTATGCCTTCAAAATAAAAATTTCTTAGAACTAACATTTGTTTCGTGTATGCTGTGTGTTGTCGCCAATAAAGTCTACTTGGCGAGATTTGTGCAGACGGATCGGAAAAGTACCCAAGTTTGCAAGTTACATTTGTATCTCGAAGTTGCTATTTATTGATTGAATGAGTTGCAATTTGACCAGTGCGCAGACTTTAATCTGCTTGTAAATTGTGATATATTTTGTGCATACCTGGAACATTAATAATTGGCAGTCATTTAAAAGGTGTTTATTTTAAAACATATTGGTGTAGTGCATTGTTTATGTGTAGTAAGTGCATTGTTTCTCAGAACATTGTTAAATGCTTGAAATATAAGCATGTTTTAAAATGCATATTGCTTGCTTTTACTGTCACTGCTGTATTTATCTTGTAAACTGGCCATGGCAGCCTACAGGCTTTCATAGCCGATGTGCTATTCTTATTTTTTTCATTTGCTGTTTTTATGCAGGTTTCTAATAGTTTTAATTTGCATTCTTAAACATGCCTGTCACATTTATTCAGACTTCACATGACTTCAAGCTTCTTGCTCAGTAACGAAACTATGAAAACTATTGCAGTGAAAAATTGGTCAAAATAGTTTTCAAGGGTAAAGAAACCCATCCTTTGTTCTGTTAAGTGTTAGACATTTAATATTTTTGTTATTGATAAGCTTTTTTTTGTGTGTTTTTTAATCTTTGTTTAAATTTGCAGCTTGTCTCTGAGCAGACTTCATGTTTCATTTTTCTTAAAGATTGAGCTCTTCTCCCCCTCTCCAGCATGTAGCAAAAAATACTGATACTCTCCCTGGTTGTTGATTTGGTTTTTACAAACATTTCTAATTGCTTTGCAGCATGTGCTCATAGCAAGCAAGTTTTCAAAATTTATGAAAATGGACAATGAAGTTGGTGCATTTGATACAGAATGAGAATTTTTGTTCAACCTCACTTAATCTTCAGTATTCAGATCTAACTGGCTATGAAATGACCCTTTATTCAAAGTTTTTTTTTAATAAAAAATAGTGACAAATTAATTGATTCAACTGTTAAATGTTCTGAGAGTTACAGCATCAGAATTAGAAGAGGAGTGTATTTTCAATAGCTTATAATAAATGTTTACAAACCACACTGCTTACAGTAGACATGTCAGATCTTTAAAAATAGTACTGTATTACAAATTATAAATAAGAGTAATTAATGGCATTTAAAGAGATCATAATATGCTAGTAACATATTTTTAATATAGAATTTCAATAAAGAGTATTTTTACTGTAACTCTGTAATTATATATTTTGATTTGCTAGCTCATGTTTAATTTTAATTGGCTGTTTTTGTTGTAAATTATTATAATTCAAGTTTTTTAATGTTTTGTATTCTGAATGAAAGCATCCTCTTTGAATTGTTTAAAATTTTTAGTGTAAAAATTTCAAATATCTTCTTAAAGTTATTTATCTTACAGTGAAACTATAGACTTGGTGAAACAGAGTGCAGCTCTTTGCTTGCTTCGTCTTCTGCGCACCATGCCTGAAATAATTCCCAGTGGTGAATGGACTACTCGTATCATTCATCTTCTAAATGATCAGCACATGGTAAGAATAATGAACTGAAGTTTTTAGCTGTATCTTGGAAATTTATTTCACTATATATTATTTTGGGATATAGTTCTGATATATTAGCTCAACCATCTTGGTGTAATTTGGTGATTTTTTACTGAGCAAAAAATTTGTAATTGCAAAAAATTATGTTTGTGATGATTTATTCCATTTTAGATAACTTGATATTAGATGAGAGTTTGATAAGGGAAGGCACCAATTCACACCATAATCACAATTGAGAAAACTGCTGCAGGTGATGACTAGAAGGAAAATCATAACTAGCTTGATGGTTAAAACTTCATTTTTATCTTGAACAGCAACACATTTTTGCTTAATTCGTACAAACTACGCAACTTTGTATATACAGTGACATTTTAAACAATAGAGAAAATAGAGCTTAGCAAAGAGAAATGATTTAACAGTACAATGTAAATGGGAAAAGAGAATATGCCCAATGCCCTGAAGTATTTATAGCCTGGAAATTCTTAGAGTTCCAGATAGCAGTTGGGCAAAAGATTTTGCAGTGTCGATAATTGCAAGCAAGTGACACAAAGCGAAGGGGAAGTACTTAAAATTAAGAATTTAAAGGTTTATTTGGGAATTTATTTGTCTTTACTATTTTATATTTTGCATAATTGTATTACATTCCTGAAAGTTGATCAGTAAACCTATTTACAAGCAGGATTTCCTTTTGTTGTAGTGGAAAATTTGCAATAACTGCATTTAGAATAAATTCAAAGTAGTTGCTTCCTTTAGTGATTTTCTGGTAAAATCTGTGTTCCTGCTGGAGTTTTAATGCAGTTTCTTTCATTGCAGACAAATCCAACAAGTGCATATTTTAAAATTGGATTAAAAATGCAAGGTATTATTTGTCAACAAAAACCATGGGAACTTGGAATGCAACATAAAGATTGCTCTTTAAAACTGAGAATTGTTATGTGCATGGTTGCAACTGTAATGTGGAAACTTCTGTTTATGTGTTTCTGTTATGTGCTAATACATTGTTGTGATATGGTTGATATACTGCTTGAGAAGCTTAGAAGGCTGTTAAAAAATTCATTTTTATCATTTTTGAAAATCAGATGCTGGAAAGTTCTATTTACACTTCATGTATGTAATCAACATCCTCTGACAGTGGAAGACTTTGCATTTAATACTTTCCTTTGTGTTGTACAAAATTCATTAATCTTATAATGGGTTTCTGACTTATAATATTGCACTTTGAGTGTATTATTTAAAAATGGAATTCTTATGGTAAAATATACTGTTGCAAATAGTAGTAGCTCTTTGTAGCATATAAGTGAACCATTGAAGGTACTTTTTGAGTGACAAAATATATCTACTTATTTTTACGTACAACCTCACCGTATTTCTTTTAGCATTGATCTTTTGATTTAGAAATTATGAGGTTTATGATGCAAATTTTAGATGGGTAGTGATGCCCATTCAGGACAACCCTGTGCCAAAATGATTGAAAATGCATTTAAATTCTTTCAGATCTATAGTTTCTGAAGTATAAGAGACTATGAAGCTCCACCGAAGGTAAAAATGTATTTCATAATACTGTCACAGAATCAACAGATTTCATAAAGCTTCCTTGTAACATTGTTTCAATAAAAGATTATATATTTCTATAGTTGAATAAAGGTAATAATGAAAAACTGATGTTAAAATACCTCAGTTCAGTATAAAATTTGAATCCTTAAATATGCTTGGCTGTAATCCAAGAAAATAATAACAGTATAATAATAGCATATCTTAACATATGATTTTAAACTGCTAAGTTCATCCTTTATCCTCGACCTTAAAAATAGTGTATACTATATAGTCTCCTCAATTTTCAGATGGTAAAGTTAAGAAAAAAGATAAATATGCAAATATTAGTTTTGCAGGGATTTTGAAGACATTTGCACATTTTTGTATGCTGTGATTGGGAGACTTCCACTTTGTGTCTCATGAACTCAAATTAATGTTGCTAATTTGCTGTTGCCTATTTTAGCAATATATTAATGAAACTATTAAACATTCACTTCTACTAGCCATTTCTGATACATTATAACTTTGCGTATCAGGAAAAGTGTTAAGATGAACAAATATAAATGTAGGAATATGCTGTGTAAAAATGTTGCCATGTGAAATACACTCATGTCCATAACTTAAGGATAATGCAAAATAAGGCAAAGGAAGAGTTAGAAGCAAAATAAATTTGACTTATTTGTAAAGCTTATTTATTAAACAAAACATAAAGAGTAAAAAAAGATGCTATATGTTTGATATTATTAAAAAAATTAGCAATTATTTTCCCCTGGTGCAAATTACAAAAAAAAAAAAAACCCTATTTACAAAAAACCAATATTACATGGTTGGTATGATTGTTAATACATTTTATGTCTCCCAGACGATGCAATACAGTCCGTACAACGCCTAGGCATGCTGACTATCAAATTATCGATCTGATCTTGGGGGATATTACACCACTCAAAAAGCAATGCTCTCCAAAGTTCCCGTAGACATGTAGGAGGAGGTCGACGGGCTGCAACTCGTCGGCCAAGCATATCCCACATGTGCTCTACTGGATTCAAGTCCGGTGAGAATGCTGGCCAGTCCATACGGGTGATATATTCCGATTGAAGGCATTCGCTTACAATGTTTGCACGGTGAGGACGGGCGTTGTCATCCATAAACACAAATTGTGCGCACATGGCACCCCTAAACAAACGTACGTGTTGTTCCAGAATGACGTCCCGATAGATTTGGCTTGTCATGGTTCCAATTTGAACATGCAGGTCAGTTCTGGAGCCCAGAATAATTCCACCCCAAACGAGCACTCCTGCACCACAGTAACGGTGTCGTTCAATGATGTTTTCTTGGTGGTAACGGGTACCTGCAGCTCTCCATATGAAAGTCCGGCGAGAATCAGACTGCAAGCTAAACCTGGACTCATCGAAATATCACACAGCCCACTGTTGCGGTGTCTACATGCATGCTCTCTACTCCAGGCTAACCGCAGGCGACCGTGAGGCAGTAAGTGAATGCATCTGACAGGTAACGAGCATATAGACCAATCTGCCCAAGCTCTGTACACGGTTTGCCTTAAATTGTACCATTGGCTGACCTCCCCCCCAGGGGTCGACGTAGAGAACTCTGCGAAGCTACTGGCTAGGACTGTACAGGCAGTCTCGGCCCACCGCATTCCAGACGGCCGTAATTCTACCACGTAAAAATCATCCAAATGTGTTCTTTGTGGATAAGTATTCGGCGATTGCACTGAAATGCTTAAAAGCCTGCAACAATTTTATTTCTTTGCCTGTATCCTTATTACACTCCTTACCTCTCTCATTGGACGTACCATCGGTGTCATCTGGTTACTTTCGAAATTTGCACATGTTTCTTGAAGATGTGTGTAGGATTTTACAGGTGATATATTTATTTTGGAGTTCGATTTCCGTGTGACTCCGAGTTATCCCTAATTTATGGACATGAGTGTAGAATGGTTATGTGTTTTGCATTCAAAGAGATTCAATTTTTGGTTCAACATGTTTTGCATTGAGAAGTGATTTTAATTATCTTTGCTTGTTCTGAAAGTGGTTATAATTAATTTCACATGTGAATCATATTTTCCTATAATCTCATTTATTGGTGAAAGCAGTCCACGGTAACTTATTTTTAAGAATTCTGCAAACAAGAGCCGCTTACCCTTTTCCTTGGAACTTTCTTGCAACTTTGTGTTATCCATTACATTATCTCAGTTTGCATGTATATTCTTTGAATGCATATGTTGAGAGTAAAACCACAGGTTGGTTTAAATTTCTTTTTAGATACTTGTAATTAATTTTAATAGACCAGTAAAATTATTTTTGAGAACCATTTTCTTTCACAAGTATAAATGAGATGCGAAGGCTGTTCCTATTTACATAATACGAGTTTAAACATCTGCCATTAACATATTGAGTGTCATGGCTTTTTGGACCCTACTGATCAAACGTGGTCTGCAGACAGTATTTGTTAGCTGGATTTATACAATTATTTACTTAACTGTTTGTTTTCAGAATCTTTCATTCTTCAGTGTAATATGTGTAGATTATTTAAGAATATAATACTGTAAAAAAATTTCAAACGAATAAAAGCGGTCATGATATTTGGACTTAATTAAGGCAATGCTGCAATGTATCGGTGTAATACTGAAATAGCAGCAGTTGTACATGTTACTGAAAAATAAAGATTTAAGTTGAAAAATATGTGTATGGTTTTTAAATCATAAGTAGTTAGATTAAATTTGGAAGGTAAGATTTTGTTTTGTCAAGTGGCAGTATTGTGATCTGGCTGTTTGTAATGCTCTGAGGAAAATGAATTAATCCTAAGTCTCCCATGGGCAGCACTTGTTAATTTGCATAAATGATAAATACATTTGCAGTATAGTATGATATAATGGCCGAGTAACTTTAGGAAGACATTGCTAAAGACATTTCTAATACAAGAGCCTTGAATTTCGAAATATATTGAAAGAGGTTAATTTTGCCATTTATTCTTGGTGATCATTATTAGTTTAACATAAATTGAAAAATGAATGTTATTCATAAGACTTTATTCCCTATTTGAATAAACAAAGCATAATAAAATTATGTTGTGAACAACACTGGCATTGTGCATTAGAATATGAAAATGACTTATTGAATGGTGCAAATGATAAAAACAAAGTAAAGAGCAGAGAAGTCACATTTATTTATGACACAGTTTAGGAAGCAGTATTTATGGACTATCTTATTGGCTTTTGGGGTGAAAAGTGTTTTTACAAAATAAAGCTTCTGTTTAGAACTGATAAAATAATTAATGAAGTAAAAGAAAAATAATTCGTCATAGTTAAACGGGAACAGAAGACAAAATAGTTTTTTACAAAATTAATGTGCAAATTTATATCATGTACAATGCAATTCTATTAGTAGATTTTGTTGTTTAGGGCACTTACACTTATTAAATACAAAATAGTGGATGAATTATGTGAGAATTATTATTTAATCTCATTTCCATTGACCTATGTGATAGATTATTTTTCTCCTTTTAGTTCAGTATGTTACGAATTTTAAATAAAAGCTTATTGTATAATTTTTTAATTTTCATTTTTGTATCTCAATGACATATCAATTAAATGTTTCTACTAAAACATTTTTCAATAACAAGTAATCTTCTCCATCCAACAATTCTGTTATATCAAATTGTCAAACAAGTCCCGTGATTTTGCCAATAAATCAGAAATTGTGTTAAAAAATTGTATGAACTTCATTTAATTTTTTTTTCCTCCAGCTGATGGTGAAAACTAAAAAAAACTAAAATTCTGAGTTTTAGTTTGTCCATTAAATGAAGATATGAGCTTAAAATTAATAGCAAG